ATTTTAAGTATGTAGGCATCTTTTTACTTAAATGCATTTTTAAATTATCATTTCAAGTAATTTTTTGTCTGTGCTGTGCTCCTAATCTTCCATGTGATTAATTACTATTTAGCAGAAGTTATTTTTACTAATTGAAGGGCGGTAATGTAATATGTAGATTGCTAGGTTATACCTGTTTAAGCTTTTGCAATTTCATTTGTCCGCTTGATCTACATTCAGTTAGCGTGCATGCATTCTAACGTTATTTATTCTGGTTACAAACAATATTATTACAATTGTTTCCTTGCTATGGATTTTGATTTATCTCTTTAAGAAAAAATAAAATAGATTTCATAAAATTAATTTCTGTGTGATTGAAATAAAAAGTTTTACCAAGAAATAAACAGAGATACTGGTATTGTTGAAATATTTCAGGAACCAAGCTTAAGTCATCAAAGACTCAACAAAATAGTCCGACTCTTAGTCCATTTTGTGCATACCCAAACTAATCAAAATCTTAGAATCAATCTTTTGTGTTTTCTTCTTATCATGGTTCAGTTTCCTGAAAAGTTTGTGTCTTGATTTGTTCCTCCTAGTGCTGTAAATTTAGTTGTTAGAAATCAATTGATATATCGTTCAACTATGCTTACGCCTCCCAACTGGGAATGAAAAACTTAATGGCTCAAAATAACGATATAATTTTTTTTTTCTAGCTAAATTGTTCTGTTATTTCTTTTTGGATAAGATTTTTAAATTACTTTGCAGCACTTCCTTGTAGAAAAGTGGTCACTTTAATCATATATTTCTTATATTGCTGTTGATGATTTAGTCTTTTCTTGCATGCTTGTTTCTTGTAGATGCTCTAAACTCTAATTGCCTTCTCTCGTTTGACTAAACGGTGGGTTGTTATGAAGATAGTTGGCTTGATTTGGCTGTGATTTAAGTTTTTTTACTGCAAACGCTATAAATCTTTGCTTTGAACCCCTGCATATAGTCAGGTTTGTGTTGGGATTCCCTCTGATTCTTTGAATATCACGTGCACAGCTTATTCTAAGTACAAGGGGCCACTTGGAAATGTAAGGAAAGGTGTATTGGTATGTTTTTTGTTTTTCTTTCCTTTCTGATTATCTAATTATTTCTTTTTACGTTTCTGTATTGGTATGTTCTTTGTTTTTCTTTCCTTTCTGATTATCTAATTATTTCTTTTTACGTTTCTGTATGAATGGAAATTTTAAAAAAATAAGAAGATTTGCGTATATACTAGTCAATTCTTGTGTATTTGCATATCAGACACCTGAACTTTAATGTTTACATTTATGTCACCCAACCTATGCAACAAAAGGTGTATTTCACCTTTTAAAACTTAAAATAATGCTATATTTTATGTGATATGAAAGATTTGGGTGGTATGCATGTATAAAGAATACTAATACATAATAGGAATTGGGTAGCATGTATGTAAATGAATCCCCACCCCACCTCCCCCCCCCCCTCCCCATGGAATTGCTAATTTTGTCATTTTATTCTAGGACTAGCTTAAATTAATATTATTCACTCTTTCATAATAAATATGCTTGGCTGGTGAGGTTTCTCAAAGTCATAGAATTAAACTTCAACTTGAGCTTGAACTCGATTAATTAATCAAACTCAAGCTCAAGCCTAGGGTGACTCTAGCTCAACTCGACTCATTTACACCCTTAATTTTACTTGCAGATTTCTCTATTGTTCTAGAAAGATGGAGGTATGCTTTTCTACTGAAATCTTCAATGGCATGTCTCACGATACCAAACCTTCCTACCCATCAACATCCGTTTTCCTTTTCAGTTGAAAGGGACCATCCAGTAAATGTAGTAATTATTTTTGGCCACCCAGATTCAGGAAGCTGAAGGTGCAATTGCATGATCCGATTTTAGAGGTTTATGAAGGTGCGTACATGTTCCATGCATGGGAGGATTAATGATGGCAACTGATGTGCAGAGTGAATGAGGGGTGATAAAATAGGTTGAGAAAGACAAAATAGAAGTATCAAGAAAGTCAGTTGTTTAGTTTCTTTGCTAGACCTTATTGACCTCATTTTCGGGTGAGGTCTTCACTTCTCTCCTTAGAGCCTAGGGTCTAGCTATAGGCTTCTCTTGTTTGACTCTCCTAGAGGACTAGTACGTGATCCACATCATTTAGAAAATTCGAGCCACCTTGTCACTCCTTCGAGTCTCGCATGGGCGGTCTCAAATCCTCGGCATTTTGCTGAGTTGGTTAAAACCGACATATGAAACTCGAGTTGAGTTCCTATTTTAATAGGAGCTACCTCTAGGGAAACCTCTCGCGACTCGAATTCTCACTAACGCCACATTTTTATGCACTCACTACACCATACAGATTGTTGACCTGAATTGACCTGACCGTTGACGAACTTGTTCGGACGACCTCAGATGATGAAACAGACCATACGGATGCGTCCGAGACGTTTACTTTAGCTAGAAAGGTCACTCATATTACTATGGTTCCGCACGCGTAAGAAATTAACATGAAAATTGATGCACGTTTTTTTAATTAGCAAGGCGCAAGCCCGGGTTCAACCCAGGTTCTACTCGGGTTCGATTTGGGCTGAATGCGGGCTAGTCACCCCAGCTTACATAATTTCAAAATTTAAATTTTGAAATTCAAATTAACCATTTAATCTCATATTAATTAAATTAATTTTGAAATTATCATTTACCTAATAAGCATTTCCTTGCATGGAAGGTAATGAATTTCTCGTCTAATGCTTGTAACGGATATTCACGTCTATACCAATTCATTCGGTCCCACTCTTCATTCGCAATCGCCTTCCTCCCCTCGCTCGATGCCACCACCGAGAGCCTCGTCTATTTCCTTCTCACGCACAACCGAAAGCCTCGCCTATTTCCTTCTCACGCACGACTGAGACCTCGCTCGCTTGCCCTCGCTCATCCGTCTCCCTCTTCGGATCGATGTTCCTGCGCATTGCTCGCCTCCCTCGATCGAAGCCCTTGCTCACTTCCCTCGCTTGACAGAAGCCATTCCTTTTCCCTCGCACGATCGAAGCCCTGCTCATCTCAGCCACTCTACACCGAAGCCCCTTTTTTCCTGCTTGACTTCCTCTTCCCCGAGACCAAGACCCAACGCCTGCTACTACCTCTTCTTTCTCTGGTTCGATTCTTCTCCTCCCCTCTTCCTCACACCAATTGCCAGCCATTTAAGATTTTTTTTAGGGCTTATGGTAAAGCCAAAATGCAGCGAGCACTTTTATTTTTCCCCAATCTGAATCTAACTTTTCTTTGGATGCTTATGAGTTTCAGGGAAACAAAGGAGTGCCTTTAGCTTTTCTCAGTTTGCAAGATGTTGTTTGTCCTATTTTTAGTGCATTTTTTAAGATTCCTGATAATCCGTTGCAGTTAAACATATATGATCAAAGGTTACATGTTCCAAAACATAATACTTATTTTCATGATCTACTACAAATTTGATAACCTTTTACTTTTTAATTTGGAGCATGTCAACCTGATATCTGTGCTTGAAAACCTAGAACTTGATTGAAAAGTCTCCTTAAATTTACAAGGATCTGTTTGAAATTGAGACGGGCTTATACCTACAATGTTATACACCCAATTTTTAACGAAGGGTTGCACACATACCACACAACTCTTATGTGTTCACATTTCTAATACCTAAACATTACTTTTTACTTTCATAGCACCCATGCATCACATAGCAAATTCCATCATTTTAGGTATGTAAATCCATAGTAAGTAAGTAGTATGTATGTGAACCTTCCTAATGTTCTTTTATGTTCTCCCTGATATTAATTGTGCACCATCTAAATGCTGTTTTGTGTTCCATATGTGCCGAAATGTGTTGCATAAGCGCAGTGCATGACTGCAATGTGCTGCCAGAAGGCTGTAGAGGTGCCAAAAAGTGTTGTCCATTGCCGTATAAGTGTTGGCTGCCAGAAGGCTGTAGAGGTGCCAAAAAGTGTTGACCATTGCCGTATAAGTGTTGGGAGAGATGTAGGAGAGCTGTAGGGTGTTGTTTGGAACTTCGAAATTTCTGTTTGAAGTTGTTAGGGGCTGTAGGGTGCTGTTTGGAACTTCAAAACTCCTGTCCGGAGTTGTAGGAGGTCTTAGGATCACCGTGTAGGTTTGCTAGTTGCTGCCCAGAGCCATAGGAAGTCTTAGGATCATCGTGTAAGCTTACTAGTCGCTGCCCGGAGCCATAGGAGGTCTTAGGATCACCGTTTAGTCTTGCTAATTGTTGTCCGGAGCTGTAGGAAGCCTTATGATCACCATTTAGGCTTGCTAGTTGCTGCCCGGAGTGTAAGAAGCCTTAGGATCACGTGTTTGGAGCTCTTAGCTACTGTTACAACTCGTTTTGCTGCTTTTTACACTAGACTTCATGTTTTCTCTCTTTTCCTACAAATTTATTTTAATTCCCTGCAAATTTTATTATGCTTTATGAGCTAATCACACAGCGAGAACAACAACAACAAATACGCCAGATATGCATGGACATTTTATTTATTGTCATTTTCATCACTGCAATTTACTATTGCTTTACTATATCATGCTTGTCTGGTTGCAATTTCATTTAAAAAAAACTATTTTTAAAAAATTAAACAACATTTTCAAAACAAAAATAAAAACATGACACTTACTTTTGAATTTACGGGAGTCCTTCGGATGAGGTAAATCACAGTTGCTAACGAAATCTCTCCAGTTTAAATGAGCCTAAAAACTCATTTGGACTAAGTAAATTCAAAAGATAAATTCAAAAGAAAATAGTGGTACCGAAATAAAAGAACCGTGAAATCCTAACCGGTGTCGCTCTAATCAACTTTAACCCCCCTATAATACTTGAACAATAACAAAACTTGTCACTTAAACTCACATGGTAAAACCTTTTGATCCTTAAACTTTAGGACTGCTACTTCAACAAGGAGTTTGGAGCCAACTTTGCCGGCAGGTTGGCAAGGCGCTTGGATCGAGCAACAAGAGGATCTTTTTTAGCATTCTCTCTTTCTAGCATAACAACAACCCATAGGACTTCGAGGTAGCTCGCTTAGCGTGACGAAAATCCTCACACTCTCTTTAGACTCCTGTGCAACCATGTTGCGCAACGTAAGTCCTAACTCATCTTAGGTTTCGAGGTTGTCGTCCGGTACGACGTAGACCATCCTATCTCTGCAGGCTATTTACATAATCAGATATTATGTAAATATAAGTCTCAAATAATAAAATTGATAGGACTGAACAATTGAATAACATCATCTCCAAAACACTGCCACACAGTAGAATAGTTTGGAAAGTCACTGAGGTTTCTCAAGATCTGTCCATACATTTTCCTTTCTTTGGATTTCTGAAAGAATTGCTCCCATTTGGTCCTTTCCCACTTGATATTCTGCATCCTACCATGAAAACCTAAACTTTGAATTCTTGAAGACTAGTATTTCTGATAATTATTGATAGTTTTCTCAAGTGACCCCCGTTATTTGAGATACAATTAATCTTTGAATTCTTGAAGACTAGTATTTCTGATAATTATCGATAGTTTTTTCAAGTGACCCCCGTTATTTGAGATACAATTAACCATGAGAGCTTGCCTCTATAGGGAACTTAGAACCCAGACAAAGTAAATCAGCTTGCCTCTATAGGGAACTTGGAACCCAGGCAAAGTAAATTCTCTACTTAATCTTTATATTAGGTAGGGTAATATGTCGGTCACACAAAATGTTCGTCGGTCAAAAAAATGTAAAAAATCTCTTATTTTGCAGGATTGGGTCTGTCGCCGGGATATGCACTTATCTTTCGGGAAGGTGCGGTATTCGTGGTATCAGACACAATTATGCAAACCATTAGACTAATGAGATCCATTTGGTCTCATTTTTCGAAAAATTAAAATACATTACTTTCAAAACCAAAACTATATACCTCTTGTATTAAATTAAATTGACAAATATTATTTTCAAATAAAAAAAAATGACCAACAGACCATTAATAGGAGCTATTGGCTAATGATTGAAAAATGTTGTATTTGTAGACTATGGTTGCAAATCCTCTTCAATTTCGTTAGGAAATGTAGAGGTGTAGATTTAAGATCTTAGTCGTCTTATTGTTTTCAGGTGATGGTATTCAATTTACTCAAAATCAGAATAATATTGAAACATCGAATGGATCAAATGGTTTATGTTGGAACCAAATTTATCCCCGAGCCTTAACTCGCAAGTGAAAAGAGCGAAGAAAGAGAAAAAAAGTGAGAGTTTATTGTAAAAGTGAGGCATTAAGGTGAGAAGCTCAGAGATTTATGAGGACCAGTTGTAAACGAAAAGATAGCCCTTCTAGGCTCTTCCCCTAGCGTCTTATTTGTAAGATTGGATCAGTGTTTATCATTTTGGGAAATGCTATATTTTGAGCCATAAAAATAACATGATTACACTTACAATACCTTTTGTCTGAGTCCTTGGCCAAGTCGTCGATTTGACCAAGTTGCTGGCTTGACTGTGTTAAAGCTGGCAAATAGTCTCGAGTATGAATAAGTTTGGTCAGTGCTGGTTAAAGTATACTTGATCATGAGTTAGTAAATGTAAGTTATCTTTGAAACAATTAGGCACTGATGAGTTCATCATAACCTTGGTGAGTTTATGCTGGCTAAGTGAGTTCATATTGGTTCGATGCCGATGTTGACAAGTTCATATCCGCTTTTGTTAGACTTGTTCAAGTCCTAGTGGGTTATTTTCTGCAATACCATTGAACTTTGAGATATTTTGATGTGCAATTTAAATCTTGGTTTTCCAAAGTGGATCCAATGGTTGGAATCTTATAACACCATCTTTGCAGGTATTCCTGTAATTTTAGAGGATCACACCTACTAGAGGATATGTATTATGTCAGAGAGTGAACAGGTTCTGAAGGAGATCGTAATAATAAATTCCGCATCTACACTGTTTTGGGGAATTTCAGGGAGCCTCGGATGTTACCAAATAGATGTTATCCACGTAATGAATGATATCATACAATCACATATTGAATAATACTGTACAATATCTTTATGAAGTGCTCTATTTATTTTTTATTATTTTATCTTTTTTTTTGTAGGAAAACTTTTCTTGGGGCTTGTTTGGGATCACTTTGCTTTATATTTTCTATTTTTTTATCTATTTTTATTTTTTTATGTTTTGATTTGAAACAAAAAAATTTGGCATATTTGATTAAGCTATGATTGTTTTTAAAACATTCAAAAACCTAAAAGTTGTTTTTAAGTGTTTTCAAGGACATGTTAATTTGTTTTTAGAAAATAAAATTATAACATGTAAAAAACACATTAAACTATTAAAAAAAAAGAAAAAGAAAAAGAAAAGATGATACCGGAGTTAAACCAAACAAAAATAGAAAAATCAAATATTATTACGGGAAAGCCGATCAGGTTGTGGCTAAGGGTTGGATCAAGGGAGGTATAGATGAGTCGGTGAGGATTGTAAGGTGGTGGGATGGTGGACGAGGAGGTCGGCAAACAAAAAACAGTGGAAAGGAGGACGATTTCCCGTGTTCCGGACAGTAAGCACACAGCCGATATTGACGTGCCACAGCTGTCCGGGATGAGGGCAGCAAGGATGGCTGGTTATGGGTGCAGATTCTAGCTGTGGACAGTAAGTGGAAGAGTTTGCAAGCTGCGGCAGCGAAGTTAGGAGATGGGAACAGCAAGGGGAAGTGGAGAACTGCAGGGAAGACAGCTACATAAAGTATTCGGGCGGCTGTAGCAGGGACGGAGGGGCCTGGAGTGACATGGGAGGAGATGGAAGGAATAGGGTACGATGATCACCGCCTCAGGAGAGGGATACAACCGCAACACCACCCAATCTGTTGGAACAACCCTTAAAGGGAGAATAACAAACATCGGCGGTTGTCCTAAACAAAACACATCAAAAACTGACTTTCAAACTCTAATACAACACATATATAGGAAAATAATGAAGGATAATAGGAAATAAAGGATAAGAAAGGAAAACAGGGCTATTTTGAAGCCTCCCGCGATATATTTTTCCTTGGTACTGTAGCAACCACAGTATGCCCCGCGGGGTATATCTCACAAAAACTAAAAACAATATTGATTCCAAACAAGTTTTTCATTATAACTTTCTCAGAGCAAAACAATCACTAGATGCTTTACTCGATTTAGCATCTTCTGTTTTCCTACCAACTATTATGCTGCAATGACACCCTTTTCTGTTTTCATTCAGGGTTACATGGAAGACTAATCTTTGCTAGTAAAACATTTGAGTGAATGGAAGCATTAAAATTGAAGGAGCTTCTGTTTCACTTGAAATAGAAAACGTTCACTTCATGTATATTTGTACTATTTTAGGATGATTTACATTCCTATGTATTTACAGATCAAAAACACCCAAAACATCAATTTTTACATATATGCATCCATACTTATCCTTGAAGAGATGTATTTCACTTCTTAAAAGTCAAAATAAAGGTATTTGTCATGTGATGTGACATATATGCATCCATACTTATCCTTGAAGAGATGTATTTCACTTCTTAAAAGTCAAAATAGTGGTATTTTTCATGTGATGCGAGACATATAGGTCCTATAAATTTTGAAAAGTAAAGTTTAGCTGTTAGATATATAAATACATAGGAATTGGGTGGTATGGTATGTATGTAAATGCCTCATTATTTTATTTTATGAACAGAACAGAATCTCATTCACATCCCAAAATTTGTTTTGCCGTCCTCATTTTATTGAAAGTTGTAGCCCCAAATTGTTACTTTTAGGTATCGGTTGGGCGCGGAATTATTACTGCG